TTCTTGCGAGGTATGGTGGGGACGAGTTTAACATTCTTCTCAGAAATACCACCGCCGAATCAGCTTATGAAATTGCAGAGGCAATTCGTGTCTCAGTCAAAGCACATTTATTTATCTATAAAGAAAAGAAACTAACAGTTACACTTAGTATGGGAGTAGCAGAAGTAAATTCATTAATGAATTCTTTTGAAGAATTACGTATAATTTCAGATGAGGCTCTATATGAGGCTAAAAGACAAGGACGGGATCGAGTGTTTATGTGGGAAAAAGACAAAACTTTACCAGGTATTTGAATTGCTAATAATATTTTAAGAACTTAATATATTTTTTACTTATAAAAAAAATTATTTAAAAAATTCATATAATAGAATGCATGAACATTCAAACACATGAACTTGTTAAGGATTTGAGTGTGACTAATAATTTGTGTTGCCTCAAATCTTTAATGGAGAACTATAAAGTGAAGATTTCGTCAGGAGTTTTGGTCATGGCTCTAGAGAAAATATCTGAGCGAATGTTTCTGGTTTTGACCAAATTTGCCAATTCATTTAAAATGTAATCTCCTGCTTCGTGTCCATTTTCATCATTGATCTTTTTAAAATAGTCTATATCAAAAAATATTAAACTCAACATAGATCTTTTGTCATCAATATTTTTAAACTCTTCTTCCATAATTTTTTTGAAGTAACTTGCGTTATAAATTCGTAGTTTAGGATCTAGACGATTTTCATATTCTCCTTCTGGAAAATATTGAAGTATACAATTTCCCATATGAATTAAATCCTTTTTTTCTAAAAAATAGGGTTCATCTGGTTCAAGTTTATGGCCATTGATAAAAGTTCCATATGACGAATTACAATCAACTATTAAAACGCCTCCGTGGCAATTAGTTATTTTTGCGTGTTTCCTAGAAACCTCTTGATCCTTGATGATAATATGATTAATTGGATCCCTTCCAATTAACGTTTCAAATTGATTAAGAAAAAAATATTGATCTTGTGGCAAACCCTGCATAACAATTAAAAAAGCTCCATTCTCTTTCATAGAGCATAAATTTTCCCCAGGATAAATTTCCGAAATTTGTTTGGATTTATTATATACATGTCTAAAGTTAATTAATTCAAGATGACAATTAACGTCTTCAACCGAGGGACGCCTTTCAGGAGTGTCATTCCACAAATTGCAATAAAGTTCCTTGTAATCTACCGGAGTTCCATCAACGGGATTTTCTCTAGATCCAGATATAAGTTCATGCATCAAAACTTCCTTGCCCAGATTAAGCTTATTACTAAAAAAAGGAATACCACTTGATATTTCCCATAGCAAAACCCCGAGACTATAAGCATCTGATGATTTATCTTTTCTACCATATGTCGAGAGGAGTGCAGGATCTGAGTATACTATTGATTCTGAGTCCAAATATTCCAAATAATCGAGAGTTTCGAAATATTCATCTAATCTATCAAGAGATATTGAAAATTCAAACCCGGTAATCATTAATCTGTCATTATAGACAAGAATGTTTTTTGGATTCTATCAAAATATTATTAGTTATATATTAATAATTTTAAATTTTTAACTTCACGTAAAGATCTAAAGTTTACCATAATACTTACCAAATTACGATGAACTATATTTGCACGGTGAATATAACAAAC